GTAAGATTTGCGCATGCGGGGTACCGATCGGGTTTCCGGTACGGATCGGGTAGTGACAAGTAGCTCAAATGTGCTGTTAGCATGTTAGCAGAGCGATGCTACTGTGAACTGAGGAGCTATTGCCTTGATGTGAGCTTCTACTCAGGGTTTTTTCTTCCAGTTCAGAGCAGAATTTTTTTTGTTAAGATACTGGATGTTGTGTTTTTCTCCACAATTTTAATTATAAGCTAGATACATTGCTGTTAACAACAACAGGGATGAGTCAGTGAGTCAGTTGGGCTTGTGAATCATGATTCATGAGTCAGTAAAGTGATTCTCGAGTATTGAACGATTCGTTCATGATTCGCGCATCACTAGTAGTGAACCTGTAAAAAGTGCAACACAAAGTGGAAACTATGATCCTCCACCTTCAAGTACAAGTTGTGTCTGTGTGCGTGTGTGACAATGATAAAACCTTTCTACAGCTGTTGTGACCTAAGTGCTACTTCATATACAGTGATCCACCTTATGATGATGACTGTATGTGTCTCCTGTTTTTTATTCACTCTCTACAGCTAAGCATTTTGAGAAACCACATGAATAGAAGCAACAGTATAGGAAAGGGGCAACTTTTTCTTTATATGCATAAGTTCTGCATATGCACATGCTACATACTTGATAAAGGTTATGACAAATTAGAGTTTCAGGAAAATAAAAAAAATTAGAGATAGCTTTTAATGTGTAGTGTTGAGTGTTTACACTACACACTACATAAGGGACTTTAGAGTGAGCTCCATACTGGTGGCTCTGTCCTTTGTTTCTGAGCTGGTTACAGAAGGTGTGTGCTTTTTATTGAGGTTGTGACTGTGCCGTACTAGACAATTAAAATATTAAATGTGAGGGGAAAAAAATCATACATGTTAAAAACAAACATTATGCTGATGTGATTATTCAGAAAGGAAACTGCACAATATATTTACATACAACACAAAAGAACTGTAAAAATGACGCAATCACAACAGGTCAAGAAAAATTTACAATAGCTTTGTCCCAGTGGTATTACTATGAATTGCTGTATTTTTGTAAGATAAAAAGCAGAGAAGCAAAAAACAATTGTTGTTTATACACTGTGTGGTTAGTGTTATGTAGTATGTTTAGTTGAAGTGGTTCAACAAGTCTTGCATAATCATTCTCCTCTCCTTTTGATTTTACTTTCATATGCCATTCCTTTTCTCGGCATCATAGTTTAAAAATGAGGAAGGTGTTATTTAACACAGACAGCTACATACAATACAGATCTATCTTCAGTTCTACCTCGCAAGAACAAGAAATCCACAATAGTACGCGCAAATAAATACACATGAGAATATGTTACTGAAAATTATGCTTTTTTTCTCAGGAACATTTTGCCTCTGTGCACAAAGTAAGTATGAATGCTTCTTGTTCCAGGAACAGCTTCTTTAGATATTGCATTGAATCCAAATACATGCAAGTTTATTTGTGAATGCTTTAATGAATTTGTAACTGATGCATAATATTATATACTTTTGTTGTTGAATTTATTTAACTTTTTTTTTTACATATTCCTAGGGAGTATTAAGCTTTGTTACACTTTTGGATGCTTTAAGTCCAGTGATACGCAAGTCTGCGTGACAATGGATGGTGACGAAGTCTTCTATGCAGACTTTAAAAACGGGTCTCTGATTTGGGACAGCAAAATACCTACAGCCATCCATGCTTCATGCCCTTACAGCCAAGCACTATATTCCCAACATCAGTGCAGATATTTTGTTCATGATGACTGGAAACAACACGAGACAATTATGAACACTAAAGGTAATTGATTCCCAATCAACATTTATACCACCTCCTGTTACAATATAAGTCTTTTTTTCCAACACATATGAACTTGAAATAAAGAATATTTTACCCACAGCACCACCAGAAATCATCATCTACCCCAGAGATGAAATTATGAAAGAAGAAGACAATTCCCTCATCTGCTTAATCAAAAAGTTCTTTCCCCCTTCTATCAAAATAAAGTGGACCAAAAATGATATAGAAGTTAAAGTGGAAGATCCTTTCATCAAATGTTTACCCAATCCAGATGGGACATTTTATGTTTTCTCCCACCTGGACTTTGTGCCAGAAGACGGTGACATCTACAGCTGCAGTGTGGAGCATGAAGCCTTGACGGAGCCTCTGACAAAGCTTTGGGGTGAGGACAAAGTTTTATATTATGCCGAATCTTGCAATGTAGAAATGACAAAATTCTAAGCTAACTCAAAATATTGTTTTGTTTTTTTTGTTTTTACTTTTGTTATTGTGATTTGTCTTCCATAGAGGTTCAAACAGATGAGCCTAGTAATGGTCCAGATGTCTTCTGTGGACTTGGCCTGAGTCTTGGAGTTATTGGAGTTGTTGCAGGAGCATTCCTGTATGTAAAAGGGAGGCAGTATCAGAGTACCCAGAACCCTGCTGGTTAAACCATTTATCATACTTTACAAAGCATTCTGATTATAGTTTATTTGTAGCAGGCGGTTTCATGTGACTCCCCTTTCTTTTGTCTCCTGACAAATCCCAACAGTCCACTACAGAGTAAGCTAAAATTCTCAATAATCATAAAATAAAATATGCATACTATAATAATTTAAATGATTTAAATGTGATTATATGTGTTGGTACTTTATTTAATTTATGTATTCTGTATGTTCATAATTCTTTACATTTTAAAATAATAAATGTGTATGATTTCCACAGTGTCATTCTTCTTTTAAGAAGTTTAGGTTTTAAAAGCGAGTGAAGGTTGATAAGTTGACTTCTTCCTCATTCTTGGTTTAGAGATAACTTTTAATGTGTAGTGTTGAGTGTTTACACTACACACTACATAAGAGACTTTAGAGTGAGCTCCATACTGGTGGCTCTGTCCTTTGTTTCTGAGCTGGTTACAGAAGGTGTGTGCTTTTTATTGAGGTTGTGACTGTGCCGTACTAGACAATTAAAATATTAAATGTGAGGTGGGAAAAATCATACATGTTAAAAACAAACATTATGCTGATGTGATTATTCAGAAAGGAAACTGCACAATATATTTACATACAACACAAAAGAACTGTAAAAATGACGCAATCACAACAGGTCAAGAAAAATTTACAATAGCTTTGTCCCAGTGGTATTACTATGAATTGCTGTATTTTTGTAAGATAAAAAGCAGAGAAGCAAAAAACAATTGTTGTTTATACACTGTGTGGTTAGTGTTATGTAGTATGTTTAGTTGAAGTGGTTCAACAAGTCTTGCATAATCATTCTCCTCTCCTTTTGATTTTACTTTAGAAAGGAAACTGCACAATATATTTACATACAACACAAAAGAACTGTAAAAATATGAGTATATGAAAGCATAACTACACCAAATAATTACATTTGGGTATTTTCAGTAATGCAACAATTAAAAATAGGTCACTTTGAAGACTGCATCTGTTAAAGGCTGTGTAGTTAAATTGTTTTAGATATATAATTTGTATGACAAATTGGTTCCAGTTGACTGGATTAATTTGGTTTTGCCCACTGATATTCCTGTTCTGCCTAATTACTCCGCTTAATGTTAATGTTAAGTTACAATTATCTGCTCAGTTTGTTGTTTCTCACTTTTCCAAATACATGGGCAGGGCATTTACCAGAACTGGTAGCAGCTGACTTTCAGTAACACTAAATAGGAGTGGCAATAACCAGTGTGAACCACAGTCATTAATTGTGAGGGATTTTCCACTGAGCAAAAAGAAAGGTACATTCTTTCATGTAGTTGACATGCCATCATTCATTTTCTTCTGTCTATATACACCTAAATCATACACACCAGAGGCTTCATTTTTATATCCGACTACTGAGGAAATATGCGTATCCAGAATTTTTATTTTTACATGTTTCTTTCTCTCTTCGGTCTAGGTGAGTTGCATCTCTTTTCTCTTTCAGTTTAACAGTAAATTTCAAGTTTTAGGTGTTATTATAGCAATGCTTCTGACAATAAATTATAATCCTTGTGTTACAGTTTCCTCAGATGAGGATTACTTCCAATCTAGAGCATGCTGTACTTTCAAAGGTCCACACTTTGAAGATATGGAGTATACACGTATAATCAGTTTGAACAAGATTGCAGTGTTGGAGTACAACCATACGAGGGGCAGCTGGATTGGATTTACACCCTACACAATAGAACTTGCAAAATTTTGGAACCTAAATCCATTTGGCACGAGGGAAGCAAAAGCATTGTGTTTAAACAACCTTGGCTACATCCAAATCTTAAGTAAGACCATTTTTCCTTAAACTACTTAAAATCCCTCTTGTGCATGCTCATTCAGTGATATTGCTTACTGAGGCATTTAATGAAATGGAGCCACTGATATTAAAAAAGGATCTATTGTTAATTATAAATACTGGTAATTATCATAAAAACTATAACTATTATATTTTTGCCCAATTAACCCATGGTATAGCAGGTTCAGAAATTTAATAATTAACTACATAATTATTGGTGATATCTTATAATCTGTATAAGTAACAGAATTAGAAAAAGCATACTAATTGTTTTAAGTTAAAAACAAATGTTTTGGGGTTTTTTCAGGTAATGTTACATATATACCCACCATCAGAGTGAAATCAGTAAAGCAGTATAGTGGTGGACATCCAGCCATGCTTGTGTGCAGTGCTTTCAACTTTTATCCGAAACAAATCCGAATGACGTGGTTGCGTAACCAAAAGGAAGTTACTACAGGTGTCAGTTACTCTGAAGTGATGCCTGATGGAGACTGGTACTACCAGATTCATTCTTACTTGGAATACACCCCAACTCATGGAGAAAAAATTACCTGTGTGGTTGAACATTTAAGCATCTCTGAGCCAATACTTGCAATTTGGGGTGAGTTTTATTTTGCAATGCAAATAATCCATAAATAAACAAATAACATATGTTTTTAAGAAAATGCAATAATTACAAACATATTTTTTATTGGTGTTTTAGATCCTACCCTTCCTGTGGCTGCACGAAACAAAATCATTGTTGGAACATGTGGACTCTTGCTTGGTTTTGTTATTGTGAGCTGTGGATTCATTTATCACAAGAAAAAGTCTTCTGTATACAATGCTTTCTGTCAAGGCAAGGGCATATATTAGATTTAAATATTTGCAGCTATGACAAATATTTATTCTTACCGATATTATTGTGTTTACAGGACGAGTGCTGATTCCTGTGGAACACCTGCCTACAGATGGAACAACTTAACAGTCACAACTGAAGCCATGTCTATTGTCACTTAAAATTCAAAATTTTCACAGTGTATGAAAAGCTCTTCAGAGAGTGTTGCAGAATGATTCCTAAACATAGAATTTAGTTTTCATTTTGCACTTCTGAGTTTCATCTTAAAGCAGGTCTGTGTTTAACACAAGCCTTCACATCATGTTTTCATGTTTTGTTTGGTGGTGATGTTGACTGTGAAGGTATTTCAGTTCATTTAAATCCTAATATCACCATTTATGATTGTATTTACAGTAATTTGTAAAGATTACCTTGCTCAGCAAAATATACATATTCTACACTTTTAGATATTATTGATTTTTTGTTGGGGGAACCTGGGTAATTCTAACTTCCTGGTTGAGCTTAAAATGTCTTCTCAGATTACTCTAATTGTATTATATTTCTGTGTTTAGCAGCATACCTAATATATGTTTGTATACAGGTAATGCAGCAGTTTTATGGCTGGTTGGGTCTGTAATGTTCTCCAAATACTACTATAGTAAACTATTGCTTTCATATCAATATGAAATCTTGTTAATATCTCTTGATTATTCAAATCTGCTAAATCCTTTTATGAGTCTTATTTATATTTCACACTAGTTCTGTCATCAACAGGAACAGAAATATATAAACACAATATAGTGACATATATTTGACAATATATTTGACATTTGCATTAAATTATAAGCATAAACTTCTGTTTCTTGGCTCTCTGCTTCTGTTGCACTACTTAACAGACAACACAACTTTAATGTTTTGCATTCAAGCAAAGTGAGTAATACATTTTAGAATAAAAATAATATTTAGAACATGTTAAGGTATTTTTAAACTAACAATAGTATTTAGCATTTAAAGCAAGAAGGAGCACACCCAGAGCAATAAAATGAGCTATGCCTGGGCTGTCCTAATGAACCTGGAGGTCACACAAATCACCTAAAAGGACAACAGATTGCCCTTGAAAGTCAGAACTTGTGGGAATGTAACTAAAGTGGACAATTTGTTTGTGCATAAAAGCTGGGGTAGTGGTTTTATTTGTGGTTACAGTGTCATGGTAGTACACACCTGTAAAATAAACACTGTAAAGTTTCATGTCTGTGTCTTGCCAAAGTTGACAGCTATTTACAGAAAAAATTGTCAAGACAAAGATGCAAACAAAAACACTTTCAAGGAGAAAATAATATAAGAGGAAATTCTGACACACCTGTAAATGAAAGATAGTAACAGAGAAGAGAGCTAGAGCGGTACACTAGAAAACAGATTTCAGGAAACCATGTACTTCAAAATTCCAATTCAAAATTATGCTCATTATCTGCAGTGTTGGAAAGGTTACTTTTAAAATGTATTTCACTACAGATTACAGAATACATGCCCCAAAATGTATTTTGTACTGTATTCCGTTACGTTACATAATATATTATCATGCTTTTTACAACTACATAAATGTACTATTGATGTGTGATTTATTACTGTTACTTAAGATTATTCACCATACAAATACCTACTAGATTTTTAAATCTTAATTTAAAATGAGTAACAGTAGGGTGGACATTGGGTAAGGGTGCACTTTTTGCAGCGATCTCGTATAGAAAACTATTCCGCGCATATATAAAACAGGTCCACGGCGCCAAACCGCAGTAAGGAGACCTCTGGCTAATACGTCAGGTTCCGTGTCGGGCTCGTAGCCAAAAACTAGCTTTACTTTGTTGTCTGGATCAACTTTGCTAGCGAGAGACAGAGAGAGGTGTTGAAAGGCTGCTCAGAACTTATTGTTTTGGAGGAAACACGAACACAGCGTACAGTCAAGTCTTAATAGCTTACTTACAGCTGGGCTCATCAGGCACTCTTTTTGGCTGCAGTGATTATTATTATATTTACATGCTTCCATCTTCTACAATACAGTTACTCATATTTTGTTTTTTAAATACGTAACGCTGGTACATGTATTCTGTTACTCCCCAACACTGATTATCTGAGTTCACCAAGGCGTTCCCAGGCCAGCCGAGAGATATAATCTCCCCAGCATGTCCTGGGTCTGCCCCGGGGCCTTTTCCAGGTGGGACATGCCCGGAACGCCTCACCCAGGAGGCGCCCAGGAGGCATCCTTGTCAGATGCCCGAACCACCTTAAGTGGCTCCTTTCGATGTGGAGGAGCAGCGGCTCTTCTCTGAGCCCCTCCGGAATGGCCAAACTTCTCACCCTTCT